CTGTTGAAGGACAGATGGAGTCCTAAAACCAGTTAACTCCCACAAGTGATTAGTATGTACTTCTCCCAATAATACCTGTATTGCAGCCGGACTTATCAGAGCTGCCCTATACAGTAGATAGAGAACAATCCAATACGATGCCAAGCAGATGATGACAATAGGCAAATGCATGCAGCCATTTGCCTGGGGATGCAATTAAGATAAAACCCCAAATTCTCTTACCTATATATTTTGCAAGAAAATGTGTCGCAGCCAGAAAGGAGAATCACTAATCAGTTCTTGTGAGTTTAAGGGAGAAGCAGAAAGAATAATTTTTTTAGGGTCGGTACATATATAATATGTCGGGTTTTTTTCTTCAACTGCAATTTTAATCTTGGTTTTCAGCCTGGTTATGCATGCTCCATTTTATGGGATGATAAATGAGATCGGCTAAGATAAATATTCTAAATGCAGTTAATTACAGTAGTGTCTGAAGTGAGATTAATACAATGTATGAATCCAGCGTTATTTATAACACTATTTGACCGGCGCTATAGGTACTTTTGAAGCATTTCAAGCACATACCATCTCATAGCAAAACAACAATAGCAATCGACACTAACTATGGATAATTCGGCCTTGGGGATGATTAGGGTATCCATTACCGCAATCACCGCAAAACAACTTGTGGTCTTGTTCATTGTGATCGCATTTATATTTAGTACCAACATTGCTCACAACAACTCGCAAACTCACTGCAAATAATAAGCCTTCACAGCTATTTAGTATCAGACTATTGTGCTGAGTTTGTACACCCATCTAAAGGTTTATTGCAAGGGGAAATTACTCATGGATAATCGGAAACGGTAGATCTCCTTTCCACTGAGCAACAGGAACACGGACAGAAATAGCCACCATAAAACCCCTCAAATGCACCGTCATGGAGAACGTGGAGTTTCCATTTCCGTAAATTCGGTTCAAAGTTCCGTAGAACACAGCGTTGTCGTAAGAAAACCATTTTGAACGCTTGTATCGCTAAAGATACCTCTGTTCCGACAACATCCCCAAAGTTCTCGAATATCATGCTCGATTTCAAAATCTTCCACTACAACATTTATCATTCGCTTTCTATCAAAGATGGTGGAAACGTTCCTTGTTTTCGGGGTCTGTGGGTCAGCACTGCTTACTGGGCTACCAACGTCTCCCGTTACCGAATAACTCCTCTCTCTTTTATAAGGCTGCAATTTCCTCTTTTTCGGAACTGTATGCTTGGCGCAGTATTGTTTGTTGAGTCTGGAACCGTCAGCGTTGGGACTTTTTTGTATCGCAAAGCTCGTTGCTTGACAAAACGCATCTCTTGGACAAGAAATTGACGCCGAACGCAATCGTGTCTTGTCCTGTTGTTGCCTCCACCTCAAAAAGGCAAAAACTTTTAAGAAATCACCCTTCATAACTGTCCTCAATATTTAGCGTCTGACTTGTCTATATTGAGCGCTGGTACAGTAAAACTGGCGAATATCATTAGTTGATATCAGATAGTCACGTGATATCACGTTATTGGGTTGATCACTGATCGCCGGACGGAAAAACAAAATTCCGTGAAAGTCAAGTGCAATGACGGAATAACATTTGACCCGCTTAATTTCCCGTCTTGTTTATCTGGTTTTGTATGTCCATGACGAGAGCTGAGCTTTGACCTTCGGCGCGGGGATTATTTAAATCTAATGCGTGGTGAAAACTGCCCAGTTCGAAGCAGGGGGTGATGAGGCGGGCTGGGGTGTGATTCAGTTTGGGCAAGAAGTTAATTCCCAAACCTACCACTGTTATCGATTCTTTTCTCAAATTTCTCGGTGCAAATATAAGACTGTGTTACCTCGATGCGAGACTCTTTTCGATCTAGATCTGTTTGCCGAATATTGTTTGAAATCACTCAAAACACAGCCTCCCCACCCTTAACTAAAAACTTAAATGACAGGACCCTTTAATTCACAGTTACAGTTATCAATATCATTTACCAATCGAGACACCGAGGAGAGCTCAACGATTTAAAAGAAAAGGCTGCACCGACAAATTACGTCATTGCTAAGCATTGCCAAGCCCATCATATTGACATAGGGTACAGTAAAAATACACGAGTAAGAACCTACATCTTTTGAAGTCTGGCAAAGTAGGTTCTTGTTATACAGAATATACATATGCACTGTTATTTATAAGGATTTTCTTCTAATTTAAATTTGCAATCGTCGTTACGTGCCGTGCCCACGGTTCCTCTGTGCCCACTGTTCCTCTGTGCCCACTGTTTCTCTATTGCTACTGTTCCTCTGTGCCCACTGTTCCTCTGCCCACGGTTCCTCTGTGCCCACTGTTCCTCTGTGCCCACTGTTCCTCTATTGCTACTGTTCCTCTGTGCCCACTGTTCCTCTGTGCCTACTTTTCCTGTGTCTACTGTTGCTCTGTGCCCAGTGTTCCTCTGTGCCTACTTTTCTTCTTGGTTAAACAGGTTCTTGTATTTTTGTTAATTGAAATGGCAAATTTCTATTGTGCCAGCAGCTTCTTAAACCACTTGGTTCTCACAAGAGGGAAAAGACTATTCTATTCATGGATTTACACATTTGCTAATGTCTTTGCTTTTTTGCCACACAAAAGAACGAAGGGAGAACCGAAAAGAACTTTTTAGGGAGTTCTAATGGAGTTTGTAAATAATCTAGTAAGTTTTCAATACAAAAAGCACCTATTAATTGAGTCAAAAATTTATACGCCAAAAGTAATTGTACGGATCGAACAGAACAAAGGAATGTACTGCCAGAGTAATCAAAGAGCCAAAACTTGAAACAATGGATAGTTTTGGGCTATTTTCACTAAATTCTCTGAGAACGAGCGGTTTGTCCTTCGTAATGAACTGCTAATGACTTTTCATGGCATTGAAGATCTCAATCTAAAATCTCTATACATGAACGAATTAACACATGTCTTTGCATAAGTACATGGCTAACTCAAGTCAACACCCTACCCCAAAAATACTTATCGTAGGCGTTTTTATAATACTGCTAACAGAGTCCTTAAGTGTGAGGTCGTAAAAAATTAAATGTGTGAAATTAGGAGATTTTTTGGAGTACTATATTATAAAAAACAACATTTCGAAACATTATATGTTTCTGGGAAACTGCCCACCTATCCATCCCCCTAAGCCAACGTTTTGCCCTAAGTGAGAAGTAAGTGTTAATGTTAGCTTAGGGGAGGGGTGGGTGGTTGTTTTGTGGTGTAAGTATTGTTCAGTGTCTGTTCAATTTTTGTATTACGTCATTTTTGATTGCACTGTCAGCAATAGGCCATTTGCACTAAGAGGTCATGTGACATCGTTTTTATGAATGATAAAGTTATATCATTTTGCCTTCGAAAAACGATTAAAGGGTCATATCTTAAACAAAATAATAAATATTTGGTTTTTCAAACCCGCACTATTTTCTTAAAATGAGTAAGTTCGTAGCTGGTTACGTGGCCAAAATGTGCTTTTTAAAATTATGAATTACCTCTTTCTGAACACAAATTTTGCACTTAAACTTCAAGGAAAATGTTGAAAAGATGATGGGGTAGCGTTTACAGTACATTTGAGCATAACTATCTCACATTTAATAAGATATAAACAAAAAGTAGTTTTGGCCGCCATGTTGGAGGGCAAGAGTAAGCCCTCCAACATGGCGGCCAATACAAATCATACTACTTTGTTGAAAAATCAAAGTGCCATAAAATATCTCCCTTAAATGAGTTTCCTTTCAAATTAAGGGTAAGATTATTTTTATGAGCTCTGTCAATTTTTGGCATCAGCAAGATTCCAGCTCATTGTTTAAAGGAAGCATTGGTCACGTGACCTCTTTGTGCAAGTGGCCTATACCAAGAAAGTCAAACGACCTTTTTTGACAGAAAAGGGTATTCTTTTCATATACGTTTTCATTGACAAATGGTATCCCTTTCGCATGCCTAGTCAGTTCAGAACGCGGCATCCTTTTTAACCGCTGCAGGTGCACTGTCTTAAGAATATGAATAAGTCATTGAACCAGGAAGTTTTCTTGACTTTTTCGTAGCCATAAAATGTATTCGCCCCTTTTCTTTCTCTTAGCAGTGGAACACACCAAGATAGCGCTAACTCGCCGAAAACGCTTCAAAACGGCCCGAGACGCGGGCAGACAACAAAGAATACAACAAGGCAATAAGGTACGTCGATTTTACTTAACATTTTTTCTCTTTTAAGAAAAACCGTTTACATCCCACACAAGCCTTTGTAAATAACCGTTTGTAACACAACACCGCTCTCAAGCCAGAGTCACGTCCGCGTTCATGTAATGAGCTTGGGCCGCCTGTGGTCGAAATTGCTCCCGTGAATCTCTGACAACTGCTGTCAAACGTAGGGGATAGAAACAAGCGACGACAAATTCTAACAACACTGACCGGAATCTGTCGATTATTACTCCTGACAGTTCCATTTCTCTCCAGATAGAAGTCGTTTGCAGATTCAAAACATATCCTTGGGGATATCAGAGGTATGTCAAGCAATTGAAATCGATGTTAAAAGGGGCTGTGTCACGGCAGTCCAGTTCATTTTGTTTAATTTTGCCAATTACTCGCCCTGAATCGCTATGGAACTTAAAGTAAGCAAAAGAAATTGCATGTAAATGACAAAATCAGAGATCCGAGACATAGAAATATGTCTCCTGAGCATTATTTTTTGAAGTTGCAAGCAGCAGGGATCAACTTTGAAAAACTGTTATAGGCTGAACAGTTTTCAAAAACCCTAATAATCTTTTTAGTTTTGTCCATCCGTGGCATCCATTGTTTCTGTTATGTTATTTTAACCTTCCTTTAAAGTTTTAAGCGGTTATTTTTATGTTTCTCTTAATTTAACCGGCATTTTGTAACTTCCTACACGTAATTTGGCTGAATTTCGTGACACAGCTCCTTTAATGGGAATAATTTGGCACGCAACCACAATGACGAAATCGTTTTCCTTGCAGATTGGTAATAAAATGAGCTCAGTAAACAAAGATTTGCCGACGAGGAAATGTCAAGTGGCTGATTTAGAAGAAGCTGTGGAAAATATGCGCCGTTTAACCAAGGAGAAACCTCGAATATGCTTTCTCGGGAAAGAATTTCTGATTTATCCTGAAGTGTTCCATCCAGATCCGTGGCACGAGATTATAGCCTACGTCAACAAAGAAGTGATTGAGGTGATCAAAACGAAACTGTTGCTGAAATTTGAAGACGCCCCATTCAATTTTCTTGAAGTGGGTTGTGGCGCAGGTTACACAGCTATCAATGCTGCTCTGATTTCGCACCAGTGCAAAGTCTGGGCGACGGACATTAACCCCACTGCTGTAAAAAACACCGTTGAAAATGCAAAGTTGCATGGAGTAGATGATCGAGTGATAGCTGTCGCTGCTGACGTCTTTGACCACAAGGAAATCGCTGGAAAAAAATTCGACATGATCTACTGGAATTGTCCATGGGATGACCAGCACCCGAGTCCCGGAAACGAGGTAGAATTGCTCATGCGCAGTATTGCTGATCCAGGGTACCAAAGCTTGCGCCGTTTCCTTTCACAAGCCAGGATCTTTCTAAAGGATTCAGGCTGTGTTTTCCTTGGATTTTCCTTAACTTTTGGTTCTAAAGAGTTGTTTGAAAAGGTAGTTGCAGAAACTAAGTGGAGGTACAAAATATATTCCAGGAAAATCTTTCCGCTTTCCCTGGGATCAGAACATGAAGAAGAGGTATCTATTTTGGAGCTTTGTGAACAAAATGAGAAATAATTAAACAAGCAAGCAAGTAAACGAAGAAAACGGAACGTTTACTTTTCGAGTTAGGGTGACTAATTTTTGTTCAAGCGTTTTTAAGTTTAGTTTAAATATGCGTTCAGGTATTGAGTTTAAGGGACTTCAAATCATTTGCTTTACCTTATGCAAAGTTATCAGTCAGCGTGCCGCAGGGAGTTGAACCTGTACCGGTCGCGAAAAAAGTTCATGTTATCGAAAATAACCGAATATTAAATAAGGCAAGACAGTTATCTTTGAGGAAGGAATGCAATGCAAGTACCATGCACACTTCACTTCAAGCACAGTAGGAGATATTGACATTAAAAAAAAGGAATATAAATTAATATACAGGGCTGGACACTGTACTTAAACTGGACTGACAAAAAAGCACAGACAAACTGTATACACAGTTCAATGTTTGGAATTGCAGCACACTATCTTAGTTTATTTTCAACTTGTAACACGCTAAAAACATGGTTCGAGTTGTAATGATCTGAAGGGAAACAAAAATTACTTCCACTTAGTGGGAAGTTTGAGTTGTTGAGGGTTCGAGTTACCAAGAGAGAAATTGTAGTAAATGTATGAAGGAAATCCAGGGGAAATCGATTCTAGTCCGATCGAGTTAGCACAAGGTTAGAGTCATTAGGAGTTGATGGTACTAGCTTGTTGGCTCGATCTATGGTAAACAATTTACTGGCTTCAGTCACCCCAAAAGGCCACAAAGATCTACAGCCATAAAACGCATTTGTTAGCCCTTTCTGGCCTTTTTACCAACTGAAATGACAGATTTCTTACCCTTTCATATATTACAGCTACATGTATGTAGTGAAGTCACTACCCTTTCATATACCTGAAGCCTGAAAAAAGGTACCCCTTTCGGGCGGAGCCTCCCTGTATAGGCCCAAGGGTTCTATATGAATATTTCCTGACTGCCTTATTATAGAACACAAAACACAACTGTGGGATCGACTGACAAGAAGGAACAAGTCAGACCTCTCTAAAACAGCCTACACTGGCTGCCAGTTCATGTGAACAATGAATAATCTTAAAGCTACTATTATTGACATACACACTAACAGCACGTGACAGTGATTAGCTGGTATTACAGATATCTCATAAATAATTCAATCAATATCTATGTACCCGAACAAGCTATGGTCATTTTTCATTTTTTGACACAGTGTAGGTTACCATGGCATTCGAACTTGTTAAAAAAACTCTGTCGCTTTGTTCCAACCTTACGTAAGTGTAAATAACCCAAAATCAAGTACCATGAATCCATGGTTTCTTTACATGTATACATGTATGTATGTCGCAAAGACTTCCCCGTGGCATCCGGGAAGTTAACACGCTAGCCCCGCATTTGAGCCACGATGGAGGGACCCTAATTGGTTTTACGGAATGCAGGATTTGCTTTATTCGAGGGCCGAGATGTATTCCTGTGTTTTTTGGTGTGAATTCATCGATTTTGTCATTTTTTTTGGCTGTTATTGTGTGACGAGAGTGACAGGGGTCACACAATAGCAGCCAAAAAACCAACTAAATCGATGAATTCACACCAAAAAACATGCTAATACATCAAAGGTAAGTCTCCTTTATTTTCTTTGTAGAAAAAAAAGTAAAAATGCATTCCTTCACAGACCTCAGTATTTTATTTCTCTTACAAAGAGTTTCAACGGTCGCTTGTAATGCAACACCAACTCTCTTGTATAACACACTTGTAACATATGCTTGGGACGCCTGTGCCAAGTAATGAGATATAACTCTCTGACCTCTCGCACCTAAGGTCGATGTTATTTGGTCAAGAAGAAGGAAGAAGCAAGAAGTTAATTCCCAAACCTACCACTTATCGATTTTTTTCTCAAATTTCTTGGTGCAAATATAAGACTGTGTTGCCTCGATGCGAGACTCTTTTCCATCTAGGTCTGTTTGCCGAATATTGTTTGAAATCACTCAAAACACAGCCTCCCCTCCCTTAACTAAAAACTTAAATGGCTGGCCCCTTTAATTCACAGTTACAGTTATCAGTATCATTTACCAATCGAGACACCGAGGAGAGCTCAACGATTTAAAAGAAAAGGCTACACCGACAAATAACGTCATTGCTAAGCAATATTGGCATAGGGTACAGTAAAAATCCACGTGTAAGAACCTACATCTTTTGAAGTTTGGCAAAGTAGGTTCTTGTTGTACAGAATATACATATGCATTGTTATTTATAAGGATTTTCTTCTAATTTAAATTTGCAATCGTCGTTAAAATGTTCATCATAGTTCAAGTGTAACCCACTGTTCCTCTGTCCCCAACTGTTCCTCTGTGCCCACTGTTCCTCTGTTGCTACTGTTCCTCTGTGCCCACTGTTCCTCTGTTGCTACTGTTCCTCTGTACCTACTGTTCCTCTGTGCCTACTGTTCTTCTGAGCCTACTGTTCCTCTGTTGTTACTGTTCCTCTGTGCCCAATGTTCCTCTGTGCCTACTGTTCCTCTTGGTTAAACAGGTTCTTGTATTTTTGTTAATTGAAATGGCAAATTTCTACTGCGCCAGCAGCTTCTTAAACCACTTGGTTCTCACAAGCGGGAAAAGACTATTCTATTCATGGTTTACGCATTTGCTAATGAGAACCGAAAAGAACTTTTTAGGGGAGTTCTAATGGAGTTTGTAAATAATCTAGTAAGTTTTCAATAAAAAAAAAGCACGTATTAACTGAGTTACAAACTTATACGCCCAAAGTAATTGTACGGATCGAACAGAACAAAGGAATGTACAGCCAGAGTAATCAAAGAGCCAAAACTTGAAACAATGGATAGTTTTGGGCTATTTTCACTAAATTCTCTGAGAACGAGCCGTTTGTCCTTCCTAATGAACTGCTAATGACTTTTCATGGCATTGAAGATCTCAATCTAAAATCTCTATACATGAACGAATTAACACATGTCTTTGCATAAGTACATGGCTAACTCAAGTCAACACCCTACCCCAAAAATACTTATCGTAGGCGTTTTTATAATACTGCTAACAGAGTCCTTAAGTGTGAGGTCGTAAAAAATTAAATGTGTGAAATTAGGAGATTTTTTGGAGTACTATATTATAAAAAACAACATTTCGAAACATTATATGTTTCTGGGAAACTGCCCACCTATCCATCCCCCTAAGCCAACGTTTTGCCCTAAGTGAGAAGTAAGTGTTAATGTTAGCTTAGGGGAGGGGTGGGTGGTTGTTTTGTGGTGTAAGTATTGTTCAGTGTCTGTTCAATTTTTGTATTACGTCATTTTTTGATTGCACTGTCAGCAATAGGCCATTTGCACTAAGAGGTCATGTGACATCGTTTTTATGAATGATAAAGTTATATCATTTTGCCTTCGAAAAACGATTAAAGGGTCATATCTTAAACAAAATAATAAATATTTGGTTTTTCAAACCCGCACTATTTTCTTAAAATGAGTAAGTTCGTAGCTGGTTACGTGGCCAAAATGTGCTTTTTAAAATTATGAATTACCTCTTTCTGAACACAAATTTTGCACTTAAACTTCAAGGAAAATGTTGAAAAGATGATGGGGTAGCGTTTACAGTACATTTGAGCATAACTATCTCACATTTAATAAGATATAAACAAAAAGTAGTTTTGGCCGCCATGTTGGAGGGCAAGAGTAAGCCCTCCAACATGGCGGCCAATACAAATCATACTACTTTGTTGAAAAATCAAAGTGCCATAAAATATCTCCCTTAAATGAGTTTCCTTTCAAATTAAGGGTAAGATTATTTTTATGAGCTCTGTCAATTTTTGGCATCAGCAAGATTCCAGCTCATTGTTTAAAGGAAGCATTGGTCACGTGACCTCTTTGTGCAAGTGGCCTATACCAAGAAAGTCAAACGACCTTTTTGACAGAAAAGGGTATTCTTTTCATATACGTTTTCATTGACAAATGGTATCCCTTTCGCATGCCTAGTCAGTTCAGAACGCGGCATCCTTTTTAACCGCTGCAGGTGCACTGTCTTAAGAATATGAATAAGTCATTGAACCAGGAAGTTTTCTTGACTTTTTCGTAGCCATAAAATGTATTCGCCCCTTTTCTTTCTCTTAGCAGTGGAACACACCAAGATAGCGCTAACTCGCCGAAAACGCTTCAAAACGGCCCGAGACGCGGGCAGACAACAAAGAATACAACAAGGCAATAAGGTACGTCGATTTTACTTAACATTTTTTCTCTTTTAAGAAAAACCGTTTACATCCCACACAAGCCTTTGTAAATAACCGTTTGTAACACAACACCGCTCTCAAGCCAGAGTCACGTCCGCGTTCATGTAATGAGCTTGGGCCGCCTGTGGTCGAAATTGCTCCCGTGAATCTCTGACAACTGCTGTCAAACGTAGGGGATAGAAACAAGCGACGACAAATTCTAACAACACTGACCGGAATCTGTCGATTATTACTCCTGACAGTTCCATTTCTCTCCAGATAGAAGTCGTTTGCAGATTCAAAACATATCCTTGGGGATATCAGAGGTATGTCAAGCAATTGAAATCGATGTTAAAAGGGGCTGTGTCACGGCAGTCCAGTTCATTTTGTTTAATTTTGCCAATTACTCGCCCTGAATCGCTATGGAACTTAAAGTAAGCAAAAGAAATTGCATGTAAATGACAAAATCAGAGATCCGAGACATAGAAATATGTCTCCTGAGCATTATTTTTTGAAGTTGCAAGCAGCAGGGATCAACTTTGAAAAACTGTTATAGGCTGAACAGTTTTCAAAAACCCTAATAATCTTTTTTAGTTTTGTCCATCCGTGGCATCCATTGTTTCTGTTATGTTATTTTAACCTTCCTTTAAAGTTTTAAGCGGTTATTTTTATGTTTCTCTTAATTTAACCGGCATTTTGTAACTTCCTACACGTAATTTGGCTGAATTTCGTGACACAGCTCCTTTAATGGGAATAATTTGGCACGCAACCACAATGACGAAATCGTTTTCCTTGCAGATTGGTAATAAAATGAGCTCAGTAAACAAAGATTTGCCGACGAGGAAATGTCAAGTGGCTGATTTAGAAGAAGCTGTGGAAAATATGCGCCGTTTAACCAAGGAGAAACCTCGAATATGCTTTCTCGGGAAAGAATTTCTGATTTATCCTGAAGTGTTCCATCCAGATCCGTGGCACGAGATTATAGCCTACGTCAACAAAGAAGTGATTGAGGTGATCAAAACGAAACTGTTGCTGAAATTTGAAGACGCCCCATTCAATTTTCTTGAAGTGGGTTGTGGCGCAGGTTACACAGCTATCAATGCTGCTCTGATTTCGCACCAGTGCAAAGTCTGGGCGACGGACATTAACCCCACTGCTGTAAAAAACACCGTTGAAAATGCAAAGTTGCATGGAGTAGATGATCGAGTGATAGCTGTCGCTGCTGACGTCTTTGACCACAAGGAAATCGCTGGAAAAAAATTCGACATGATCTACTGGAATTGTCCATGGGATGACCAGCACCCGAGTCCCGGAAACGAGGTAGAATTGCTCATGCGCAGTATTGCTGATCCAGGGTACCAAAGCTTGCGCCGTTTCCTTTCACAAGCCAGGATCTTTCTAAAGGATTCAGGCTGTGTTTTCCTTGGATTTTCCTTAACTTTTGGTTCTAAAGAGTTGTTTGAAAAGGTAGTTGCAGAAACTAAGTGGAGGTACAAAATATATTCCAGGAAAATCTTTCCGCTTTCCCTGGGATCAGAACATGAAGAAGAGGTATCTATTTTGGAGCTTTGTGAACAAAATGAGAAATAATTAAACAAGCAAGCAAGTAAACGAAGAAAACGGAACGTTTACTTTTCGAGTTAGGGTGACTAATTTTTGTTCAAGCGTTTTTAAGTTTAGTTTAAATATGCGTTCAGGTATTGAGTTTAAGGGACTTCAAATCATTTGCTTTACCTTATGCAAAGTTATCAGTCAGCGTGCCGCAGGGAGTTGAACCTGTACCGGTCGCGAAAAAAGTTCATGTTATCGAAAATAACCGAATATTAAATAAGGCAAGACAGTTATCTTTGAGGAAGGAATGCAATGCAAGTACCATGCACACTTCACTTCAAGCACAGTAGGAGATATTGACATTAAAAAAAAGGAATATAAATTAATATACAGGGCTGGACACTGTACTTAAACTGGACTGACAAAAAAGCACAGACAAACTGTATACACAGTTCAATGTTTGGAATTGCAGCACACTATCTTAGTTTATTTTCAACTTGTAACACGCTAAAAACATGGTTCGAGTTGTAATGATCTGAAGGGAAACAAAAATTACTTCCACTTAGTGGGAAGTTTGAGTTTTTTAGGGTTCGAGTTACCAAGAGAGAAATTGTAGTAAATGTATGAAGGAAATCCAGGGGAAATCGATTCTAGTCCGATCGAGTTAGCACAAGGTTAGAGTCATTAGGAGTTGATGGTACTAGCTTGTTGGCTCGATCTATGGTAAACAATTTACTGGCTTCAGTCACCCCAAAAGGCCACAAAGATCTACAGCCATAAAACGCATTTGTTAGCCCTTTCTGGCCTTTTTACCAACTGAAATGACAGATTTCTTACCCTTTCATATATTACAGCTACATGTATGTAGTGAAGTCACTACCCTTTCATATACCTGAAGCCTGAAAAAAGGTACCCCTTTCGGGCGGAGCCTCCCTGTATAGGCCCAAGGGTTCTATATGAATATTTCCTGACTGCCTTATTATAGAACACAAAACACAACTGTGGGATCGACTGACAAGAAGGAACAAGTCAGACCTCTCTAAAACAGCCTACACTGGCTGCCAGTTCATGTGAACAATGAATAATCTTAAAGCTACTATTATTGACATACACACTAACAGCACGTGACAGTGATTAGCTGGTATTACAGATATCTCATAAATAATTCAATCAATATCTATGTACCCGAACAAGCTATGGTCATTTTTCATTTTTTGACACAGTGTAGGTTACCATGGCATTCGAACTTGTTAAAAAAACTCTGTCGCTTTGTTCCAACCTTACGTAAGTGTAAATAACCCAAAATCAAGTACCATGAATCCATGGTTTCTTTACATGTATACATGTATGTATGTCGCAAAGACTTCCCCGTGGCATCCGGGAAGTTAACACGCTAGCCCCGCATTTGAGCCACGATGGAGGGACCCTAATTGGTTTTACGGAATGCAGGATTTGCTTTATTCGAGGGCCGAGATGTATTCCTGTGTTTTTTGGTGTGAATTCATCGATTTTGTCTTTTTTTTTGGCTGTTATTGTGTGACGAGAGTGACAGGGGTCACACAATAGCAGCCAAAAAACCAACTAAATCGATGAATTCACACCAAAAAACATGCTAATACATCAAAGGTAAGTCTCCTTTATTTTCTTTGTAGAAAAAAAAGTAAAAATGCATTCCTTCACAGACCTCAGTATTTTATTTCTCTTACAAAGAGTTTCAACGGTCGCTTGTAATGCAACACCAACTCTCTTGTATAACACACTTGTAACATATGCTTGGGACGCCTGTGCCAAGTAATGAGATATAACTCTCTGACCTCTCGCACCTAAGGTCGATGTTATTTGGTCAAGAAGAAGGAAGAAGCAAGAAGTTAATTCCCAAACCTACCACTTATCGATTTTTTTCTCAAATTTCTTGGTGCAAATATAAGACTGTGTTGCCTCGATGCGAGACTCTTTTCCATCTAGGTCTGTTTGCCGAATATTGTTTGAAATCACTCAAAACACAGCCTCCCCTCCCTTAACTAAAAACTTAAATGGCTGGCCCCTTTAATTCACAGTTACAGTTATCAGTATCATTTACCAATCGAGACACCGAGGAGAGCTCAACGATTTAAAAGAAAAGGCTACACCGACAAATAACGTCATTGCTAAGCAATATTGACATAGGGTACAGTAAAAATCCACGAGTAAGAACCTACATCTTTTGAAGTTTGGCAAAGTAGGTTCTTGTTGTACAGAATATACATATGCATTGTTATTTATAAGGATTTTCTTCTAATTTAAATTTGCAATCGTCGTTAAAATGTTCATCATAGTTCAAGTGTAACCCACTGTTCCTCTGTCCGCAACTGTTCCTCTGTGCCCACTGTTCCTCTGTTGCTACTGTTCCTCTGTGCCCACTGTTCCTCTGTTGCTACTGTTCCTCTGTACCTACTGTTCCTCTGTTCCTACTGTTCTTCTGAGCCTACTGTTCCTCTGTTGCTACTGTTCCTCTGTGCCCAATTTTCCTCTGTGCCTACTGTTCCTCTTGGTTAAACAGGTTCTTGTATTTTTGTTAATTGAAGTGGCAAATTTCTACTGTGCCAGCAGCTTCTTAAACCACTTGGTTCTCACAAGCGGGAAAAGACTATTCTATTCATGGTTTACACATTTGCTAATGTCTTAGCTTTTCTGTCACACAAAAAGAACAAAGGGAGAACCGAAAAGAACTTTTTAGGGGAGTTCTAATGGAGTTTGTAAATAATCTAGTAAGTTTTCAATAAAAAAAAGCACGTATTAACTGAGTTACAAACTTATACGCCCAAAGTAATTATACGGATCGAACAGAACAAAGGAATGTACTGCCAGAGTAATCAAAGAGCCAAAACTTGAAACAATGGATAGTTTTGGGCTATTTTCACTGAATTCTCTGAGAACGAGCGGTTTGTCCTTCGTAATGAACTGCTAATGACTTTTTATGGCATTAAAGACCTCAATCTAAAATCTCTATACATGAACGAATTAACACATGTCTTTGCATAAGTACATGGCTAACTCAAGTCAACACCCTACCCCAAAAATACTTATCGTAGACGTTTTTATAATACTGTTAATAGAGTCCTTAATTGTGAGGTCATAAAAAAACAAATGTGTGAAATTATGAGATTTCTCGGAGTACTATATTATAAAAGAACATTATTTCGAAAAATTATGTTTCTGGGAAACTGCCCACCTACCCCTCCCCTAAGCCAACGTTTTGCCATAAGTGAGAAGTAAGTGTTAATGAGGGCTTAGGGGAGGGGTAGGTGGTTGTTTTGTGGTGTGAGTATTGTTCAGTGTGGGTTCAATTTTTGTATTACGTCATTTTTTGATTGCACCTGTCAGCAATACCAAGAAAGTCAAATGACAGAAAAGGGTATTCTCTTCGTATACGTTTTCATTGACAAATGGTATCCCATTCGCATGCCTAATTCAGAACGCGGCATCCTTTTCAACTGCTGCTGGTGCACTGTCTTAAGAATATGAATAAGTCATTGATCCAGTAAGTTTTCTTGACGTTTTCGCAGCCATAAAATGTATTTGCCCCTTTTCTTTCTCTTAGCAGTGGAACACCAAAATAGCGCTAACTCGCCGAAAACGCTTCAAAACGGCCTGAGACGCGGGCAAACAACAAAGAATACAACAAGGCAATAAAGTACGTCGATTTTATTGAAAAACATAACATTTTTTCTCTCTTTTAAGAAAAACCGTTTACATCCCGTACTAGCCTCCCCCGCAGGCGTTTTTAGGGGACATCTCCCCTAAAGACGCCTGCGGGGGAGGCTAATCCCATACAAGCCTTTGTAAATAACCGTTTGTAACACAACACCGCTCGCAAGCAAGAGTCACGTCCGCGTTCATGTAATGAGGTTGGACCGCCTGTGGTCAAAATTGCTCCCGTGAATCTTTGAAAACTGCTGTCAAACGTAGGAGATAGAAACAAGCGACGGCAAATTCTAGGAACACTGACCGGAATCTGTCGATTATTACTCCTGAAAGCTCCATTTCTCTCCAGATAGAAGTCGTTTGCAGATTCAAAACATATCCCTGCAGATATCAGAGGTATGTAAAGCAATTGAAATCGAAGTTAAAAGGGGCTGTGTCACGGCAGTTCAGTTCATTTTGTTTAATTGATTTAATTTTGCCAATTACTCGCCCTCAATCGCTATGGACCTTAAAGTAAGCAAAGAAATTACATGTCAATGACAAAATCAAAGGTCCCAGACAAACAAATATGTCTCCCGAGCATTATTTTCTGAAGTTGCAAGCAGCAGGGATCAACTGTGAAAACACTGTTGGGCTGAATAGTTTTCAAAAACCCTAATTTTAATCCGTTTCAATCTTTTTCAGTTTTGTCCATCCGTGGCATCCATTATTTCTGTTGTTATTTTAACCTTTCTTTAAAGTTTTAAGCGGTTATTTTTATGTTTCTCTTAATTTAACCGGCATTTTGTAATTTCCTACATGTAATTTGGCTGAATTTCGTGACACAGCTCCTTTAATGGGAATAATTAGGCACGCAACCACATTGACGAAATCGTTTTCCTTGCAGATTGATAATAAAATGAGCTCAGTAAATAAAGATTTGCCGACGAGGAGATATCAAGTGGCTGATTTAGAAGAAACTGTGGAAAATATGCGCCGTTTAACCAAGGAGAAACCTCGAACAGGCTTTCTTGGGAAAGAATTTCTGATTTATCCTGAAGTGTTCCATCCAGATCCTTGGCACGAGATTGCAGCCTACATCAACAAAGAAGTGATTGAAGTGATCAAAACGAAATTGTCGATAAAATATGAAGACGCCCCATTCAATTTTCTAGAAGTAGGTTGTGGCGCAGGTTACACAGCTATCAATGCTGCTCTGATTTCGCACCAGTGCAAAGTCTGGGCAACGGACATTAACCCTCTGCTGTAAAAAAACACCGTTGAAAATGCAAAGTTGCATGGAGTAGATGATCGAGTGATAGCTGTCGCTGCTGACGTCTTTGACCACAAGGAAATCGCTGGAAAAAAATTCGACATGATCTACTGGAATTGTCCATGGGATGACCAGCACCCGAGTCCCGGAAACGAGGTAGAATTGCTCATGCGCAGTATTGCTGATCCAGGGTACCAAACCTTGCGCCGTTTTCTTTCACAAGCCAAGATCTTTCTTAAGGATTCAGGCTGTGTTTTCCTTGCATTTTCCTTAACTGCTGGTTCTAAAGAGTTGTTTGACAAGGTAGCTGCAGAAACTGAGTGGAGGTACAAAATATATTCCAGGAAAATCTTTCCGTTTTCCATGGGATCAGAACATGAAGAAGAGGTATCTATTTTGGAGCTTTGTGAACAAAATGAGAAATAATTAAACAAGCAAGCAAGTAAACGAAGAAATTGGAACGTTTACTTTTCGAGTTAGGGTGACTAATTTTCGTTCAAGGGTTCTTAACCCCTTCACTGCCAGAGTGCATGATGGAGTTTTGTAAGATGACTATAACTTTTGATTCTGCGGACCAAATCCTATGATGTGACCATTCAAATGAAAGCTCTCTGACTGTACTTCATAGTGCTATTTGTTTTACAAAATTTCACAAAATGAAATTTGGTCGAAATTTGCTTTTGGCTAAATTTGGGAGTCAAAGGGTTAATTTCATTTCAAATATGCATTCAGCTTTTGAAGTTAAGGGACTTCAAATCATTTGCTTTACCTTATGCAAAGTTATCAGTCAGCCTGCCGCAGGGAGTTGAACCTGTAACAGTCATGTTATTGAAAATAACCGAATATTAAATAAGGCAAGACAGTTATCTTTGAGGAAGGAATGTAGTGCAAGTACTATTGACATTAAAAAAGGAATATATATTAATATACAGGGCTGGACACTGTACTTAAACTGGACTGACAAAAAAGCAAAGACAAACTGTATACACAGTTCAATGTTTGGGACTGCAGCACACTGTCTTAGTTTATTTCCACCTTCTGACACGCTAAAAACATGGTTCGAGTTGTAATGATCTGAAGGGAAACAAAAATTACTTCCACTTTGTGGGAAGTTTGAGTTATTGAGGGTTTGAGTTACCAAGGGAGAAATTGCAGTAAATGTATGAAGGAAATCCAGGGGAAATCGATAGTTAGCACAAGGTTCGAGTCAATGGGAGTCCACGGTACTAGCTTGTTGGCTCGATCTATGATAAGCAATTGACTGACTTCAGTCACCCCAAAAGGCCACAAAGATATACAGCCATAAAACGCATTTGTTAGCCCTTTCTGGCCTTTTTACCAACTGAAATGACAGATTTCCTACCCTTTCATACATTACAGCTACATGTATGTAGTGAAGTCACTACCCTTTCATATACCTGAAGCATGAAAAAAGGTACCCCTTTCGGGCAGAGCCTCCCTGTATAGGCCCAAGGGTTCTATATGCATATTTCCTGACTGCCTCATTATAGAACACAAAACACAACTGTGGGATTGACTGACAAGAAGGAACAAGTCAGACCTCTCTAAAACAGCCTACACTGGCTGCCAGTTCATGTGAACAATGAATAATCTTAGAGCTACGATTATTGACATACACACTGACAGCACGTGACAGTGATTAGCTGGTGTTAAAAATATCTCATAAATAATTCCATCAATACCTATGTACCCAAACAAGCTGTGGTCATTTTTCATTTTTTGACACAGTGTAGGTTACCATGACACTCCAACTTGTTGAAAAAAACATGTCGCTTTGTTCCAACCTTACGTAAGTGTAAATAACCCAAAATCAAGTACCATGAATCCATGCTTTTTTACATGTATACATGCATGTATGTATGTCGCAAAGACTTCCCCGTGGCATCCGGGAAGTTAACACGCTAGCCCCGCATTTGAGCCACGATGGAGGGTCCCTAATTGGTTTTACGGAATGCAGGATTTGCTTTATTCGAGGGCCGAGATGTATTCCTGTGTTTTTTGGTGTGAATTCATCGATTTTGTCATTTTTTTTGGCTGTTATTGTGTGACGAGAGTGACAGGGGTCACACAATAGCAGCCAAAAAACCAACTAAATCGATGAATTCACACCAAAAAACATGCTAATACATCAAAGGTAAGTCTCCTTTACTTTCTTTGTAGAAAAAAAAGTAAAAATGCATTCCTTCACAGACCTCAGTATTTTATTTCTCTTACAAAGAGTTTCAACGGTCGCTTGTAACGTAACACCAACTCTCTTGTATAACACACTTGTAACATAAGCTTGGGACGCCTGTGCCAAGTAATGAGATATAACTCTCTGACCTCTCGCACCTAAGGTCGATGTTATTTGGTCAAGAAGAAGGAAGAAGCAAGAAGTTAATTCCCAAACCTACCACTTATCGATTTTTTTCTCAAATTTCTTGGTGCAAATATAAGACTGTGTTGCCTCGATGCGAGACTCTTTTCCATCTAGATCTGTTTGCCGAATATTGTTTGAAATCACTCAAAACACAGCCTCCCCTCCCTTAACTAAAAACTTAAATGGCTGGCCCCTTTAATTCACAGTTACAGTTATCAGTATCATTTACCAATCGAGACACCGAGGAGAGCTCAACGATTTAAAAGAAAAGGCTACACCGACAAATAACGTCATTGCTAAGCAATATTGACATAGGGTACAGTAAAAATCCACGTGTAAGAACCTACATCTTTTGAAGTTTGGCAAAGTAGGTTCTTGTTGTACAGAATATACATATGCATTGTTATTTATAAGGATTTTCTTCTAATTTAAATTTGCAATCGTCGTTAAAATGTTCATCATAGTTCAAGTGTAACCCACTGTTCCTCTCTCCCCAACTGTTCCTCTGTGCCCACTGTTCCTCTGTTGCTACTGTTCCTCTGTGCCCACTGTTCCTCTGTTGCTACTGTTCCTCTGTACCTACTGTTCCTCTGTTCCTACTGTTCTTCTGAGCCTACTGTTCCTCTGTTGCTACTGTTCCTCTGTGCCCAATGTTCCTCTGTGCCTACTGTTCCTCTTGGTTAAACAGGTTCTTGTATTTTTGTTAATTGAAATGGCAAATTTCTACTGCGCCAGCAGCTTCTTAAACCACTTGTTTCTCACAAGCGGGAAAAGACTATTCTATTCATGGTTTACGCATTTGCTAATGAGAACCGAAAAGAACTTTTTAGGGGAGTTCTAATGGAGTTTGTAAATAATCTAGTACGTTTTCAATAAAAAAAAGCACGTATTAACTGAGTTACAAACTTATACGCCCAAAGTAATTGTACGGATCGAACAGAACAAAGGAATGTACTGCCAGAGTAATCAAAGAGCCAAAACTTGAAACAATGGAGAGTTTTGGGCTATTTTCACTGAATTCTCTGAGAACGAGCGGTTTGTCCTTCGTAATGAACTGCTAATGACTTTTTATGGCATTGAAGACCTCAATCTAAAATCTCTATACATGAACGAATTAACACATGTCTTTGCATAAGTACATGGATAACTCAAGTCAACACCCTGCCCCAAAAATACTTATCGTAGACGTTTTTATAATACTGTTAATAGAGTCCTTAATTGTGAGGTCATAAAAAATGAAATGTGTGAAATTATGAGATTTCTCGGAGTACTATATTATAAAAGAACAACATTTCGAAAAATTATGTTTCTGGGAAACTGCCCACGTACCCCTCCCCTAAGCCAACGTTTTGCCATAAGTGAGAAGTAATTTGTTAATGTTGGCTTAGGGGAGGGGTAGGTGGTTGTTTTGTGGTGTGAGTATTGTTCAGTGTGGGTTCAATTTATGTATTACGTCATTTTTTGATTGCACCTGTCAGCAATACCAAGAAAGTCAAATGACAGAAAAGGGTATTCTCTTCGTATACGTTTTCATTGACAAATGGTATCCCTTTCGCACGCCTAATTCAGAACGCGGCATCCTTTTCAACTGCTGCAGGTGCACTGTCTTAAGAATATGAATAAGTCATTGATCCAGTAAGTTTTCTTGACTTTTTCGCAGCCATAAAATGTATTTGCCCCATTTCTTTCTCTTAGCAGTGGAACACCAAAATAGCGCTAACTCGCCGAAAACGCTTCAAAACGGCCTGAGACGCGGGCAAACAACAAAGAATACAACAAGGCAATAAAGTACGTCGATTTTATTTAAAAACATAACATTTTTTCTCTCTTTTAAGAAAAACCGTTTACATCCCGTACTAGCCTCCCCCGCAGACGTTTTTAGGGGAGATCTCCCCTAAAGACGCCTGCGGGGGAGGCTAATCCCATACAAGCCTTTGTAAATAACCGTTTGTAACACAACACCGCTCGCAAGCAAGAGTCACGTCCGCGTTCATGTAATGAGGTTGGACCGCCTGTGGTCAAAATTGCTCCCGTGAATCTTTGAAAACTGCTGTCACACGTAGGAGATAGAAACAAGCGACGACAAATTCTAGGAACACTGACCGGAATCTGTCGATTATTACTCCTGAAAGCTCCATTTCTCTCCAGATAGAAGTCGTTTGCAGATTCAAAACATATCCCTGCAGATATCAGAGGTATGTAAAGCAATTGAAATCGATGTTAAAAGGGGCTGTGTCACGGCAGTTCAGTTCATTTTGTTTAATTGATTTAATTTTGCCAATTACTCGCCCTCAATCGCTATGGACCTTAAAGGAAGCAAAGAAATTACATGTAAATGACAAAATCAAAGGTCCCAGACAAACAAATATGTCTCCCGAGCATTATTTTTTGAAGTTGCAAGCAGCAGGGATCAACTGTGAAAACACTGTTGGGCTGAATAGTTTTCAAAAACCCTAATTTTAATCCGTTTCAATCTTTTTCAGTTTTGTCCATCCGTGGCATCCATTATTTCTGTTGTTATTTTAACCTTTCTTTAAAGTTTTAAGCGGTTATTTTTATGTTTCTCTTAATTTAACCGGCATTTTGTAATTTCCTACATGTAATTTGGCTGAATTTCGTGACACAGCTCCTTTAATGGCAATAATTAGGCACGCAACCACATTGACGAAATCGTTTTCCTTGCAGATTGATAATAAAATGAGCTCAGTAAATAAAGATTTGCCGACGAGGAGATATCAAGTGGCTGATTTAGAAGAAGCTGTGGAAAATATGCGCCGTTTAACCAAGGAGAAACCTCGAACAGGCTTTCTTGGGAAAGAATTTCTGATTTATCCTGAAGTGTTCCATCCAGATCCTTGGCACGAGATTGCAGCCTACATCAACAAAGAAGTGATTGAAGTGATCAAAACGAAATTGTCGATAAAATATGAAGACGCCCCATTCAATTTTCTAGAAGTAGGTTGTGGCGCAGGTTACACAGCTATCAATGCTGCTCTGATTTCGCACCAGTGCAAAGTCTGGGCAACGGACATTAACCCCTCTGCTGTAAAAAACACCGTTGAAAATGCAAAGTTGCATGGAGTAGATGATCGAGTGATAGCTGTCGCTGCTGACGTCTTTGACCACAAGGAAATCGCTGGAAAAAAATTCGACATGATCTACTGGAATTGTCCATGGGATGACCAGCACCCGAGTCCCGGAAACGAGGTAGAATTGCTCATGCGCAGTATTGCTGATCCAGGGTACCAAACCTTGCGCCGTTTTCTTTCACAAGCCAAGATCTTTCTTAAGGATTCAGGCTGTGTTTTCCTTGCATTTTCCTTAACTGTTGGTTCTAAAGAGTTGTTTGACAAGGTAGCCTCAGAAACTGAGTGGAGGTACAAAATATATTCCAGGAAAATCTTTCCGTTTTCCATGGGATCAGAACATGAAGAAGAGGTATCTATTTTGGAGCTTTGTGAACAAAATGAGAAATAATTAAACAAGCAAGCAAGTAAACGAAGAAATTGGAACGTTTACTTTTCGAGTTAGGGTGACTAATTTTCGTTCAAGGGTTCTTAACTCCTTCACTGCCAGAGTGCATGATGGAGTTTTGTAAGATGACTATAACTTTTGATTCTGCGGACCAAATCCTATGATGTGACCATTCAAATGAAAGCTCTCTGACTGTACTTCATAGTGCTATTTGTTTTACAAAATTTCACAAAATGAAATTTGGTCGAAATTTGCTTTTGGCTAAATTTGGGAGTCAAAGGGTTAATTTCATTTTAAATATGCGTTCAGCTTTTGAGTTTAAGGGACTTCAAATCATTTGCTTTACCTTATGCAAAATTATCAGTCAGCCTGCCGCAGGGAGTTGAACCTGTAACAGTCATGTTATCGAAAATAACCGAATATTAAATAAGGCAAGACAGTTATCTTTGAGGAAGGAATGCAGTGCAAGTACTATTGGCATTAAAAAAAGGAATATATATTAATATACAGGGCTGGACACTGTACTTAAACTGGACTGACAAAAAAGCAAAGACAAACTGTATACACAGTTCAATGTTTGGGACTGTAGCACACTGTCTTAGTTTATTTCCAACTTGTGACACGCTAAAAACATGGTTCGAGTTGTAATGATCTGAAGGGAAACAAAAATTACTTCCACTTAGTGGGAAGTTTGAGTTATTGAGGGTTTGAGTTACCAAGGGAGAAATTGCAGTAAATGTATGAAGGAAATCCAGGGGAAATCGATAGTTAGCACAAGGTTCGAGTCAATGGGAGTCCACGGTACTAGCTTGTTGGCTCGATCTATGATAAGCAATTGACTGACTTCAGTCACCCCAAAAGGCCACAAAGATATACAGCCATAAAACGCATTTGTTAGCCCTTTCTGGCCTTTTTACCAACTGAAATGACAGATTTCCTACCCTTTCATACATTACAGCTACATGTATGTAGTGAAGTCACTACCCTTTCATATACCTGAAGCATGAAAAAAGGTACCCCTTTCGGGCAGAGCCTCCCTGTATAGGCCCAAGGGTTCTATATGCATATTTCCTGACTGCATTATTATAGAACACAAAACACAACTGTGGGATTGACTGACAAGAAGGAACAAGTCAGACCTCTCTAAAACAGCCTACACTGGCTGCCAGTTCATGTGAACAATGAATAATATTAGAGCTACGATTATTGACATACACACTGACAGCACGTGACAGTGATTAGCTGGTATTAAAAATATCTCATAAATAATTCCATCAATACCTATGTACCCAAACAAGCTGTAGTCATTTTTCATTTTTTGACACAGTGTAGGTTACCATGACACTCAAACTTGTTAAAAAAAACATGTCGCTTTGTTCCTACCTTACGTAAGTGTAAATAACCCAAAATCAAGTACCATGAATCCATGCTTTTTTACATGTATACATGCATGTATGTATGTCGCAAAGACTTCCCCATGGCATCCGAGAAGTTAACATGCTAGCCCCGCATTTGAGCCATAACAGAGGGTCCCTAATTGGTTTTACGGAATGCGGGATTTGCTTTATTTGAGGGCCGAGATGTATTCCTGTGTTTTTTGGTGTGAATTCATCGATTTTGTCATTTTTTTTGGCTGTTATTGTGTGACGAGAGTGACAGGGGTCACACAATAGCAGCCAAAAAACCAACTAAATGGATGAATTCACACCAAAAAACATGCTAATACATCAAAGGTAAGTCTCCTTTATTCACCTTGTAGAAAAAAAAGTTAAAATAATGATATTTAGCCTTCACAGACCTCAGTATTTTATTTCTCTTACAAAGAGTCTCAAAGGTCGCTTGTAACGCAACACCGACTCTCTTCTATAACACACTTGTAACATAAGCTTGGGATGCCTGTGCCAAGTTCTCTGACCTCTCGCGCCTTAGGTCGATGTTATTTGGTCGCGAACCCGACAAAATCGAATCGAAGATTATTTGGAGTTGAGTGACTGTGAATTCATCACAACACAACATTTACCGAAATCTGTCGATTATTACTCCAGACAGTTCCATTTCTCACCAGGAGATCTCAGAGGTATGTCAAATATGGCGCAATTACAGGATTTCAGCGACTTTGACGGGTTCTTTGGTACCGATTGGGAGTTACATGTAATGGTAATGTTTTCTTAACGGGTATGACCACCAGTATATAAATATTAAACGATAAACATCATTCAACACCTCACCTTCGATCAAGGACAACTTATCCGCCTACACACCAACTTCTTTTGTATGGATTCCCACGTGCAGGAGATTCAAACCAAAGTTTGCAGACCCTTGTGAACTGTGGCGTGACAGCGATCGTCTGCCTTTAAAACAATCATAGTCTTTCAAACCAAGAAATATGATAAACACTGGGTTTTTGTTTTCTTTGAATTTATCCTGAGCCTGTGAGGGGTAGACAGCGCGAAGAAAATTTCCAGTAAACGTCTTGGATGTATTTCGAAGCACTCGTTCCCAGTACTCTTTGACCATTTTGTTGTTTCTTACTTCATGTATGCTTCATGTAAAGGTGTATTTAACTTTGTTCGAATGAAAGATATATCTGTGGGTATCTTTTCAACAAGAGTTCATGACCATAAAGAGAATTATTTAAAGCTGTCAACAACCTAGTCCGAGTTCAACATTTTTCTGTTTCTTTGTTCAGTAATTGGCCATTGTTTATAAGTTGAGCAGGCGGGCGCGGGAAAGTTAATAGGCTGATTTAGCAACAGAACCGGGAACGTCCTTGACGACGGGAAAGCGCGCGGAAAAGACTAAATTCGACTTCCGGTGCGCAATTTGCAGCTCTACCATTAATCAAACCAGTTCTTTGATTTGTGCGCGCAGTCGTCAACTGACATTCCCGTTCTATTGCTAAATCAGCCTATTTTGATCGAGAACGGCATTGCTTTTTTTTGTAAAATGTCATTGCGGGTAACACAAGGCGATTTCGTCGGGTTTAGTCTTGTTTTCCAAAAACTGAAAAAGGACTGTCATTGACCAAACACTGCCCCCTCCGGGGAAGTGGGTACTCCCTAAGTTGGCTGATTACGGGGAGGCTCCGCCCGAAATCAAAGGGGTGACTTTGTTTTGCTTTAGGCATATGAAAGGATAAAGATTTCACTTATATGAAAGGGTAGCCAAAAAATCTGTCATTCAGGTAATTAAGAAGGCCCAAAAGGGTTGGAAGATGCGTTTTATGGCTGTTAAAAAGTCGAGAAAAACGTTCTACAGTTAAAAGGGAAGAAAAGTTCTGAACTAGGTAGGTAAACAGTAGAGCGCGCAAGTTTTGGCCTGTTGTAAATCGAAAACTGCATGCTAAGCTGTAAGGCAGTTTTGGTTTCTTTTGGTTTTTTTCTTAGATTAACTGTACTCACAAGTAGCTCCTCGAAAACTGCCGTAAATCGTTTACCACCGAAACACTGCTTTTCTGAAAGTCACTGAATGCGTCTACGAGGTTGAATTCAGGTTAAATAATGATAATAATGGTCTTTATTTCACATAAGATGAAGAGAAATCGAAGACAATAGTTATGCAAAATTTGGGGCTGGGTAAACAAGATGCATTATGGTCTATGTGGAAGTATCCAGAAAGTTTAAAGCCCATGCGCAACTGCTGGGATTGAAAAGAAGGAGCACACAACGCCTGGGAAGAGCCTACAGTCTAGCTACCAGTTAAATAAAGTTTTAAGCTTCTATTATAACATATACAGCGTTAAGTTATTTAGCTCGTACAGTACCTGTGATCTATCCGATCCACATCAATGTCTATGTATATACCTGAACAAGCTGGGGTCATTTTTTTTTTATCACTCAGTAGAGGTTATCATATCACAATAACATGTGAAAAACCACTTCACTTGATTAATTGGTTTCTTTATATGTAGTTGTCTTACTAACTTACGCCAAGATTTCTACAATTTAAAGCTTTATAAAACGGAATTCGGAGGACCTTATCTATTCGATTTTTCCCTCCGCGTGAGAAATACGAGCTGCGTATATGAACGACCTAGGAATCTAGTACTTTAGAATGACTTTAACCTAATAAAAGAAGTGACACACGTTCATTTTTTCTAGTAATGAACAACCAAATGATGTAAAGCGAACGTCAAAAGGAGGGCCAAAAGAATAACTGACGACACTTATTTGTACACTGTTCGATAAATAAGAAAATATGAATAAGCTAATTAATTAATCAATGAGTATAATTATTTTCAATTGATTTATTTGTTGATTAATCGGATCAAAAACATACGAAAGTCGGGACAAGGGTCAGGACCCGTTATCAGGTTTTATCTGCTCCAGCAGTTGTTTGTTACGTCATGCCACGCTTTTCTCCGTAGAGGGCCGCCCTTGTATTGCGTCATGTGGTTTGAGTGATTACCTCACAGCAACAACTATTATGGCAAGGCACCCCACAGAATTGCGTGAAAACTTACGTCATAGTTCAAACAATCGAGGAAACCTTCTTTATGTGCCCTTTTTACAATAATGAGAATGCTTTGCAATCATTGCGAAGCTGTCAGTATGAAAGTTGTTCAAAATGATACATGACGGTGAGGCTGGCAAATTAAAAGATTCAAGAACAGAATATAATTTCGATTTGCTGAAAAGAGAAACCAAGGAACCTGCTGCATGTTGTTGAACGTCTTCAAATTCAGATCACATCCACAGAACTTAAACGTCGATCATTGCGTGCGGCACTGTAAAGCGAGATATACTTCCTTGTCCCTCCTCAATCCAATCAGTGAAGAAGATAACCCAAAGCATTATTTTTCCCTTCGGTGATAATTGCAATCAAGAGGGAATGATGTAAGAGACCGAATCCCCCATACATGACCCTCTTCCCATGAAAATTATTTTCAATCTATTCTTGGTTCTGTGTCATACTGCGTGGTTATTCTGTCTTGTTCTAATAACTTCGAAACTTTTCTATCTGATTAATAATAGAAGAAAATTTATCTCACTCAGTCACTTTTGGCACTTACTAGGTTAAATAAATAAATAAAGTGTCTTTATTGTTCAAAAGACTGAGATGCAGCGGTATCTGCAGGAAGTCTGCACAGACACATAGATGGAAAAATTTAAAAGTTTTGTGGTTGGACTTCGGGTTTTAAAAGACCACAAGAGTGTGCCGCTTAGTTTGGCGCGGCTGATGACTTCCTTTTACGACTTGTTGTCTCTTGACAACCCATTTTCCGTGTCGTTTTGCAGGTTTTACTGTTAAGACGATTTTGGTCAGGCTTTAAGAGGGTTTAAATCCATTTACACTTACTGAGTGTTACCAGCACGCTTACGATAAGTTTCAACACTTTTGCAACTTTTGTCTTTTCTCTTCAGCTTGGCACTGATTAATTGAAGAAAACTTAATTTAAAAAAATCAGTGATTTAAACTAAGAGCGATGCGTATGCTTCTGACTATTTGTCACCAACTGCCTTACACTCAGTTAAAAAGCTGTCATATGTCAAATGAATGGTTTTCAATTAATTTTCAATAACTTTTCGTAGTTGACAACTAGTTTTTCTTATTAAGGAACCTTAAGTGACATAACTACACCTTTCCTTGTTCCTTTTTTTCAGTGAACTTTTAAAATTCATACACTGAGTAAAACTCTTGGGAATGGGTTACGTCTTTGGATATGATCTCACAGAAGAACTTAAAAAAAGAATGGATTTTTTGGAATTCATATGATGCGTCACAACTTTTCTTACGGAAATGTTTAGATCAGGAAAAATTCGTGTGGATATATATTGCTTGCCTCGCGGGATCGTTTGCCGCTTCTTTCGTTAATTTGCCAGTGCAAGTAGTGACAGATGTTGTTTCTTTTGAAGCACGCACTGTTGTAAAGAGGAAACAGTCGGTAAAAGCATTCTGCCTTTACTTAACAAAGTAAACTTTACACACATGGAAATAAAGAGCGTGTGAAACAAAATGCATTTCCGTCGGATACTAAAGTTATTATCATTACTGAGAATTTGCGTCGTTGGTATTTTAAAAAGATACACGTACTAAAAAATCACATGAAAGACTTTGATAACCTTTACTCTTCCCAGAAACTTTTCTCAAAACAATGGAAGCCGTTGCGGAAAGAACGCATTATAGTTTCCGACAGATGTACAAGTAAACAGTGGGAAGGGAAAACGTCGGTTGCTAAAGTTAAGCGACAAGGACATGATATGCAAACACCTTCTGAAAGAAGTTTGATAACCTTTATAGTGAGAATCAATTTTATTATAGTCACAGGAAAAAACACCTGTAATGCGTTTCCGACAGATTGCAAAAAAATCAGCAAGAAGCATTTTTGAAAAATTATATTTACGTGTAAGAAAACGTTAAAGTAATTCAAACAGCTTTTTCTAGTTTGAAAAATCGGCTCAAATCGACATTGATATCGTGCGTTTTTGTTAATTTTTAAGCGATGGGTACCAGAAAATGATTGCTTTCAATCGCGTCTGGCTAGTTGTTTTAATAGGTATTTCCAATAAGCGTTGTAATGAATGAGAACTAAAAGAATAAGTCGCTCTATTGGCCTCATCATAAATAGCAATTAAAAAGAAAAAAGGTGTTCACACCATGGAATTAAAAATGTTCATCCCGTAATATGATAAAAATCTTGAATACTTCAAATGATACAACAACTCGTTCTTAGCACCCATAAAAAATTGAAAAAAGGAAAACAAGATCAGGGATTGAACGCGCAAACGTTTCAGCGAATCAACGCTCCTCCAAATCTAGGGTTGGATTTGTCATCACTTGCTAATAGAAAGAAATGCGCATTGTAGAAATCGCTTTGAAAATAGGCGAAGGTCAGTATTATTTTTTTAAAATAAAATTTCAATTTTTTTTTTTAGTAAAGACCAAAGGTTATTGGAGCAACTAGTTGATTAAAACTGTTTGGTTAAGAATTTGGAAAGAATCACCGGTTTTATAATTAATATGCATGGTGGTACCAAAAGGAGCGGCCTTATGTCTTAGCCGCGATGAAGAGGTAGTGTGTACGACAGTCGGTGCCAGGATGAGGTGCAAAACTTGATCTGCATCCACGCAAATATAATTACAGACGAAGCAAACAAAACAAAACCCCAGAAATGTCAAGTGTTTAGAACATTCTGTGTAAGAATGTGATTTAAAGCTTAATGCTGAAGAGAAACAAAGGAAATTGATTATAGGTCAACCGGATTACTCACAGTAAGAATCAAGGCAGTTGTCATGCATGAGACTAGACTCTCGCTTAGTTGTTGTCAAATTCCACCAAATACAACTGTACAATCAAAACATATAGCAAGGGTGAAACGAGACCAGCAATTAAAGCACGGCATTTTTCGTTCGACTAGAGGTTTTGGAGCTGTCTCTGTGTTTCAGAGAATTTGGAAAAGAAACTAACGATCAGGCTTTTGTAAAATTCTTGAAGCGTCGTTCTTTTTGTGAGAGCAGCCTCTTTATTTTTCTTTGCAAAGTTACTCCGCGTGTAACCCTTGCACGCGACCCGCGTTGAACAAGGGCGTAAGCCCGGTAAAGTCGTTATTTGCAATCACGCTGGCTTGGAAAAGAACTGGAGGGATTGTAAGAGAAAAGTCCAACTGCAAGCAGGCTATTGATCTAATAGCTTTTAATGGAGAGTATGAAAAATAATGTATTTCAATCACTTAGGTCCTTTACCGAATCTCACTGCTGCTGCAAAACTAAGGACCAAAAACTGAATGATATCACCTGTCGAATTTGCTTACTTTCGCGAAATCTTAGCTTAGTGATCTGATAAAACCAGAAACATTTTACCCCTTAGAAAGAGAACGCTTGAAACTCTTAGTTAATATTCTTCGATTTCCCCCCGGAAGTTTGAAAGGATATCTAAGCAAAGAAAAATTAGCTTTTGATGTTATTAATGGTTACTTTTGTTAAGGTTAATATAATAGTTAATATATAGTATTAGGCTGGTAAAAGTATAACAGATTTATCGATCCCGACGATGAACTGCTTTAGCTCAATTTAAGTTTAAGAACAGTATTACATCAACCGTCAATGACGGTAAACAGCGAATATTCTGTTAATTCATTCCTTCCTTGGTCTTCCGATCTGCTCTTAAGCAACTAAAGTATAGCAATGCATGATATATATTATTGAATGGCGGATCGCTTTTAGTTTTAGAGTTAATTAAAAAGCGATAGTCAACCAATCAAGAATAAGATAGCATAACATCAATAAGGTCTCAGTTAGCTTTATTGTTAGACTGTATATAAATATTTCATTCCTCACGGAAAATTCTAGAACAATTTAAAATATCTTGTGATAACGGATGAAGTCCTTAAGCATATGACCTAACAAGAATTGTCTCTTATCTCAATTTTTTCTAATTCCGCTTTACAAATCCCCAAAGAAATGCGCCGGTAACTGGAGAGCTAAGAGGATAGATCAGTGACGTCTGTTAGCTCACGTCCCGGAATACTCTAGCTTGAATCTGCGACCCCGTCATGCTCAAGGCAGGAAATACTAGAAAAAATTTGAAAACTCTTCCTGTGTACATGTAACTACAAATGTCCAGCTCATCTTTTAGTGCTTCGTAATGTTTCGAAAGAAAACGCTGATATATTTTTAGTTTTGACAAACTTCTCCTAAGTGTTTTGCTTCAAGGTCAGAATTTTATTGAGGCTTGAAATCGATACTTTTGTTGTGAAGAAAAATAAGTTCTAAATATACAATTTTTACAGATATCCATCTTTTGCTATATATACTTGTAATAGACAGGAGCCTTCGGTTTACGATTTTTACTGATATTTTTTTTCAGAGAAGGCCATCTAGCAGCTGAAGAAGTAAACTCCGTGAAGCTTCAACGTTTCAGCGTTGTTTGTTTGTTTAAGAAAACGTCTTAGTCTAAGAACAAAAGGTAAAAGTGGATTTTAGACAAAAAAAAATATAATTAAATAAACTTGAAAATAAGGACAAAGGGTGTTTTACTACTCCCACGCATTGGTTCTTTGTCCTCTTTGTAACTTGGAGGAAAGAAAGTGATGCATTCCCTACAAATTATTTGCTCTTTCGTTCGTTCGACGCGAGCAGTAAGTGACAAATTCCATGCAACCTTTCTAAGAAACGTTTTATTTTTTAAAATGAAAATATACTACAGATGAAATTGTAATTCGTTAGCTAATGTAATATCACCGCCGTTAACTCGATCGGTTGACAGCTTGTTTTGTCCCGAGAGACTCACAGAGTAACGAATATTTACAAAAATATCTAATATATATTATATTCTTTAGCATAAATAGAGGTAACTAGCTGATCAGTTTTATATGTTTCCTTATAATGTTCATCAAGAATTCAAGAAAATATAATCGTCCAATTTCTCCTACCGCACGTATGGTGAATGAAATGTCACCAGTCCAGTAAAGCTCAGTTCATGTGAGTAGTCACACCAGTGGAGTCATTAGATAAGGAACATTTCAACAAAGTTCCTCCAGAAGTAAAGGATTAGGTAAGAGATGACTCAGCATTCGGTAGAACTCAAGCTCTTGCTCCTTAGCTCCGAAAAGTCAAAACTAGACAAATCCAAGTCTAATGAATTCGACTTTTGCTGTTTGATAACTTTCGTGGTTTTCTCACTTAAAGTTCTCAGGTGACACCCTTCTGTTGAAAAACTCCTTGTTCGCTGCAGTTCAGGCTCTGATGTAGAAGAAACTAATCTTACTTCTTCCTGGGAATCCGTTGATTCCGTGGACAGTCTTCTAAGCAAGGAATTGTCAAAAGAAGGTCTTGGTTCACTACTTTGCAGCGATTGTTTTCTTCGATTTCGAGCGCTAAATCCCATGTCTTCTAAAATGTCGTATTTTTCGCCTCCACAAAGAGCTGTAATGATAGATTGAGATAAATTGTCAGTCACAAGCTTGCTTACTGCAAAATGCACGCCATTATCTTGGATAAATTGCATCTGTAGATCGAAACTCATCTAGAACTTTTCCACGATACTCTTACGATTTTGGAATCGAACAGTAGTGTCGATTGCATGTGGAGATAATTGTACCACCTCCCAACCAAAGACTTTACCACAAAAGACTGTGTTTGGAATTAATTGCTTTCCTACTCTCAGTTTACAGTTATTAATGCCCAGTGATCAGAAATTACGAAGGATTCTAAGGCAGTTATTAGACTAAGAAACAAAACCTTCCCGTTTCCAACCGACA